GGCCTGACCTTGTCTTTCCAAAAGGGCCTGGCCGTGGCCTTTGAGCTTGCATTGTATATCTGCTTTAGATATTTCCTATGGCAAGAACAAAGGCCCTTGAGATAAAGGTGCAACTTCTCTCCCCCTCCCAATGTTGGCATTTCTTTAAGGATTAAGCATCTTTCCTTAGGCTAGGAACTGATTGCTGCTCTCACCTGTGACCACCCAGCTCGAGACAATAGACTTGCTTCCTGCTACGCATGCTGAGATAGCAGACCCACTACCTGCTGTGTCCATCAAGCCCTGTGCCGACAGGGCAATCTGGTGACTATTGTGGGGGGGACATTTCAATCATATGTGAAACACCCTGTTTGGGGGTATATAACCACTCTGTGCACCCCACTTCTTCGGTGCCCTTTCTTCCTTTGGGAAGAAAGGCCTTGGGCCATGGTCCTCATGAAGGTTTGTTTAATTTTCTCCTGTTATTCTGTCTCATGTGAATTTAATTCGTTCTCCGGCCAGATGAACCCAGAGAAGGTAGAGGAAATGTCTTTTCCCCTACAGAGGCATTGGTTGGCTTATTTCAGTCAGGGCCCACCCTGAGAGTAGGGGACAGAGTCCGTCCCTGGGTCTTTGTTGGGTGTGGCCAGGAGGGGAATGTGAAGAGGAAACCAATAAAGGTCACTACACCCCTTCTTGCCATTTCCCTACCACTGCCCTATGTAGGCCTCAACATCTCTTACTCAGACTATTGCAATAACTTTCTTGTTGATCTCCCTCCTTTAGTTTTCACCCATCAATCCCACATCACACCAGAATGATCTTCCTAGCATGTAGATCTGATGACGTCACTACTACATTTGACAATTTTTTGATGTCTTGCCTTCACCTACAAGATAAATTCTAAATGCTTTTGCTTATTAAATTAATTATTAAAAAAAAAGCTGTTCAATATTTGGCCTTTGTCTGCTTATCTGTCTACCTTATCCATCTTCATCCTCTTCTTCAGACCTTAAGCTTTAGCAAAACTGAATTACTTGAAGTACTGTTCATATATAATGCTCATGTAACCCTGAGCCCATTTAGAGCCAGTTTGAACAGACCTCCATCTCTGATCAACAAAAACGATTAAAGATTGTCTTTCAGAAAAACTGCAAAGTCACACTGCCAGGGCATGCACAAAAGGAGAAATCATGACCTGAAATGACCTCAGAACCAAAGATCCTCCCTCCACGGAACCCAAGGACTAGGACGTGACAGGAACTTGAAAGCCAGACTCTTATCAGAAGCGAGGGGTCCCACATTCAGGAAGATCCAGTGTTAAAATTCTTTCTCTACCACGTGCAAAATGTTTAGAACACCATCATATATGTTTGGAACCCTATCATAAATGTTTAGAACCCTATCATATATACTCGAAGCCCATCAATCAAAACCTGTCCTACCAGCGTTTCCACGTGCCACCCTGTTCTCCCTAACCTCTTAAATTTGGTCCCAAATCATGAATCGGAGAGACAAAGCCGAGGGCACATGCACCCTGTCTCCCTGGAGATCCATCCCACAGAATAAAAAGCTGATTTCTCCCCTCAAAGTCTGGTGCCATAATTAATTGGCTTGTTTATGCTTATGGGGCAGAGAACCCTAATTTTGGGTGGCAAGACTTACTCACACCTTGTTCCCCCAAACCTGCTTCATTCTTATCAATCCAGCAAGTTTGAATTCATCCTTCCACAGTCAACTTGAGGGCTATCTTCTCTGACTCCTTCCCTGGTCTTTCCAGGCCCTGTCTCCTTTATGCACACTGCACGTTGTCATATAGTAGAGTCCTTTCTTCTGACCAGACCAGGACAGTAGTTGGTGAGTTAATTGAAAAATGACTTAAATTTGGGATCATCATAATAATGATACACACTTTAAACACTATGTTTCTATCATCACTTATAAATCACTGTTTCTCAACCTTTTTATTCATTATCTCCCCTACGGAATTTTTTTAGACTTTTTTCCTAACAACATTCTTCCCCCACCCCCACTACCATGAAATTTTAATACCACAGCAGACACACACAATATCTATTCATGTACTCTATGTACATCCGCAGGGCAAAGGCCTTTTACTTGGGTGTGGATCCTTTGATTCAGTTCTGCCTCAGATTTCTTCCACACTGATAATCCATCCTCTATGATTCCTAATTTGGGCTTGTTTAAAATGAGGGAGGAACACGACATTTTAAAAGCAAACTGAGTGGAGAATCATACTCAGTTTTTATCATCTCTTCCCATGCCTACCATTTGACAGCATTTTTTTTTTTGGTAACTTGCTTTTATCAAGTCTTTCCAAAGCATTTAATTCCATTTTCGTAAAAACAATTCTTCCTCACAACATACACTTAAACTTCATCACTATGTAATGTCTAATCAAGTTTTATCATTTCAAAGACAACACAATCTCTTCAGGATCAAACACAACTGTTGGGGTGTGGTCAGTGAGAAGAAAATATATAAGGAAACAAATAGGTGAAAGAGGTAATATAAAGAAAATAGTAACTAACACTTTTTTAGAACTTACTAGGTATCAAGTACTGTTCTAAAAACTCTACAGAAGTCAACTCATTTAATCCTTACAAGGGAGGTACCGTTATTATCTCCAACTTTACTGAAGAGGAAACTGAAGCACACAGAGGTTGATTTTTTTTCCCCTAACAATCTTTTTAAACAACAAATGTTTAAAACAGTTTTTACTGAGATGTTTCTAAAATATATTACTAATGTCTGCCATTCTTTTACAAAGTATATTGAACATAACGTAATCTGTCTCTGAAGTGGTATAACTAATAAGAATAGGCCGATGAAAATTTAATGTGGCTTCCCTTTCGGGTTTCACCAAAAGCATTCTTCTTCATTCTCAGGGAATTCAGAGAATTGAGTCTAGCTCAGTAAGGAAGAGGTCCTTGTCAAGAGAAAGTGAGGACTTAATTGCTCATTTTCATCTTTTCTTTGCTGGTAAGGGTGACCTTAGCAAAGAACCAAAGGCTGAGAACTGAGTAGTATGTGTGGAAGGTTTTTCTTTAAAACTGGCTACTCCTGTAGGAGTAGATGCAGGAGACAGCTATGAAATGGAGGTCAAGTCTACAAGCAGCCAGCAATCTGCTCTCAATAGGTTGGGGTGTCTGAGCTGAGGCAGAACACTGCTGAGCCCACCTCCCCTCCACCTTGCTATCCTCTTCTCAGCCTGGTTCTCCTCTCTCCCCTTTTCCTGACTTCTGCTCTAGAAGCTTCCCTTCTGTTCTTGAGCAGGGGCAGTAGCTGCCCTAAGAGGAGCTGTAGCTGCCCTGGATCTTGTTCCAATTGCCCATTTGCTCCAGGCCAGCAACCTATGACTGTGAGGGCCCAGCTGCTAGGGTATACTGTAACCCTCCCGTAGACTGTGAACTCCAAGGAATCAGAGATCTTGTTTGTTTACTTGATGCTGTAGGCCAGTGCCTAGTACAGTGCCTGATACCTAACAGGTGCACAATAAATATTTATTGAATAAATGAATGGATGGATGAATAAATGAATGACTTGTAAGCTCCAATCCAATTCATTTGCTTAGTTCACTGTGTCCTTGATAGTTGTGGATCAGTCTAATGAAAATTAATTTCTGTAATAAGACCATATCTTTGAAGAGTCTCTGTGTGTTTTTTCACCCAGTTCCACATGCCACCTTTTTAATTTCTTTGCATTACGTTTCCTCCTGAAATTTTCAGCTCTCCTCTTCTTCCATCTAAAAGAGTCTCACCCATTCTTTACTGGCCATCTCAACAGCTAAGCCTCCAGCAGAGCTTCTCAGAAGACCTGGGTTACGAGTGGCCATTCCCTCCCATAAATGCCAATAGCTCTCTGGTGGTGACTCTTTTCATAAATGCATTGCACAAATTACTTCTATATCCTTTTTGATTTTTCATTTTATACTTATAACTTTCCTCAGTTAGAATGTTGGACAAATGTTACTCCCTTTCCACAGATAAGGAGAGATTTGGAGAGGCTTATGGGCATGGTCAGGGACATAAGCCTAGAAGAAAACAGAATACAGACTAGAACTCAAATCTCTTCCATCCTCTTAGTCCAGTTCTCTTTACACCGTATGCGCTCATGTTCTGGCATGTATCGTTATCACTCTGAGTCAGTGTTATTTTCCCTACTAGATTGTAAATTCCTCCAGGCCCTAACCTCTTGGGCTTGCTAACAGTATTAACTAAATGAATAAGTTAATAGACCCTCAAAACTTTTAATTCAGGAACAGGAAAAAAAAAAAGAATTCTCTTCTTGTAAGTTTTTTGCAATGGGTAGTATAAAGGGCAAAAGAGCTGCCAAGTTGGTGCAGGAGTTGGAAAACACTATACAGGCTTCATTTGTTTGTTAACTTTTGCTCCAAAAGGCTTGACTTAAACATTAATAAAGTGGGTCTTTCTATATCCAAATCAGCACAAAATCATTTGTGGGTAATGACATTTATTTGCCTGCTTAGAAGTTTCTTCTTTTTTAACTTCTTAAATATGGCCATTCATGGAGGGTTGTAAACAAATTGCCTCTGGTACTGCTGTCATAGATGGGAAAATCTTGGCCTTAAACAGAAGTATAATCAGTAGTTGGGGGTGGAAAGAAAGGTCCGGTGTGGGTCAGGGACCTTCAGACTCTTTAGGTCTCTCCTGGCCTGGCAGCTCATGAGACCAACATTAGACCTTAGGGCTTAAACCCAGGCCCTTGGTTACTATGGGGAGGCGGCAGGTTCCACCACGCACTGCCCCAGGACACCCAGTGTTGGCTTTGGGCACGAGAATCTGAAAAGAACAAAAAACCCCCCTAAGGCCAACGGGCCTCGGCTCAAAATCTGGCCCTTTGCTTCGATGGGACAAGTAGCCCGAGCTTGGGTAAGAACGCCATCTCCTGCGGTCCCGCCCTCCACCCGCTCAGCGGGCGCGACGTCGACCAAGCCCGCGAAGAAACCCGCCCTAACTAGTTTGTCCCTGCGGCCATCTCGTAGGCGCGGCCGCGGCGCAGCGCGTCGCCCCCTGCCGCATTGCCATGGCTGCCCGTGGTGGCGTCGCCTCTGCCGGCGAGGGGCTGCGCTACGCCGAGTACTCGCCGCCCTCGACCAGGCGACCGGACGCGGACATCGACCAGGGACTGGTGAGTCCTGTCGGCGGCTCCCGCCCCTGTCCGGCTCCCCGCCGTCGGGGCCTGCCCGCTAGCGCCCCCCGGATCCCGTCCTCGTCCTCGTCCCTGTCCCTGGACCCACTTTCCCCTTGGACCTTGGCGCCCTCGGCGTTCATAACCGTCTGTGTCCCATTCGTTCAGCGGAGACTCTGCTCGGTGCCAGGCGTTGATGATGAGGCGTGTTTAGAGTCTCTGCCCCCTCAAGGAGCTTCCAGTCTCGTAGGGGACAGAGACCAGAAAACAGTTGCAGATACAGGATGATAAGTGCTGTAGGATGGATTCCCCTATCACATAGGAGGGGACGCCAGTCGTCTACCGGGGGCAGTGGGTGAGGTCAGGGGGGCTTCTTAGAGAAAGCGATGGTTAAAACTAAAATCTGAATAATGAGTAGCAGTTAGCTCAGCGAAGAGGAAAAAGTGTTTTGTTTCAGGCACCAGTAGTCGTATCTACAAAGTCATAGGCCAGAGAAACAGGACCCAGTTGGAACTTTCAAGTGGTTTATTCAGACTGAAATGTAGAACTGGGAAAAGGAACTGTCCAATAGAAACGTAATGCGAGCCACATGTGTGTTTTTAAGTTTCCTGTAGCCATATTATAAAAGTAAAAAGAAAATAGGTGGATTTAACTTTAACAGTGTGTTTTTATTTTAACACAATACATCCACAGTAATATTTCAACATGTAATCAATGTAAAAATTATTCATGAGATGTTTTGCATTCTTTTTTTTGTACTAAGTCTTCGAAATCCAGAGTATATTTTACACTAGCAGGACATCTCAATTCGGACTAGCCACATTTCAGGTGCTCAGTAGCTACATGTGGCTTGTGGCTACCTTGTTGATCAGTGCAGTTCCTGGAGGTAAATGGGGGCTAGAATATATGAAGCATCTGGTAAACCACGTGGAAGAGTTGGGATATCCTGAGGCCTGGGGTACTGTCTTGATGAGTTGTAAACAGAGGAGTGATAGGTTGGGCTATTGTAAAGTTCTCTCAGGGTGTGCGTGAGAAGAGTGGATTAGATGGAGAAAGTCTGGAAACATAGCTGTTTCATCCCTTATCCACACCACATTCCATGTCATTTTCCAGCATTTTTCTAAGTTTCCTAAGAGCATAGACTGGGTCTTTCCTTCTAGTAGGCACTCCCTTGCTAAGACTCAGTTATCGTTACTTAATTAACTAATAAATTTCTGGAGCAAGCAGTCAGATGGGCTTGCCTGGGAAGGTTTCAGGAAACAGATGTGCTTTCATTCAACAGACATTTCTTGAGCACTGCTAGGTGACAGGTACCATCCTAGGACCTTGGCATAAGTAAGTGAACAAAACAAAGGTTTGAAGTGGCAGACTCTTTGAGCTCCTACTGTGTCTGATTTATTCCTTACCACAACCCTTTGAGGAAGGTTTTTAAAATTCTCTCTTAAGAAATGAGACGGAGACTCAGAAAGTGGTAGTTGCTTACCCAGGATCATTCTCCTAATAAATGGCAGACCTAGAAGTCCAAATCCTACACTCTTTCGACTATGACTTGCTGACTCCTTAGAAATAAGGCTCTCTGAATGGAGTGTTCAGTCTGTGGTGTAGACTGGATAAGATACTAGGTTAGGTAGAAGGAATCTCTTTATGGAGAGTTGTAAAAATCTCAGTAATGGACTGATTTGCAAGGCAGCTGGGAGCTCTGTGGTATTTTTAAGATAGAAGTAGTATTGGTGATTTTTACATCTGGAGGACTTTTATTAGGAAGAGAGAGTGTATGGAATCCGAGATATCAGTTAGATGACATCTTTAGTAGGCTAGGCACATGAGGGCTGAAATATAGGCCGGTGATTCTCAACTTGTCCAGCCCGGTGCACCGTATTTATAACAAATATTTTGTAAAGTCTCTTGTAATATTCTGAAATGAAATTTGTTGGCAATGAAATCTACTCATAAACATAATTTTTAAAAATCAATAGCATGCTCTAAGTGAAACACAGAGGTGAAATAAGTATTTTATTAGAAAATAACATGTCTACCATGTAAATATGTAAGTGCTCAGGCATGACTACATTAGAAGATATGAAGTAATCAGTTGCTGGCACATGGAAACAGTACGGAGAATCACTGTGAATGTGACAGCTACAATTTCAGATTGATTTCAGATGTAGTATATTGGCAGTTTAAGTACCGTAAGGACCATTGTCATCAACAAACTGATTTTTCTCAAATTGTGAACAATTTTGAACAAAACAAAGTGGAATCTTTCCTCATTTTACATGGTAGTTACACTTCTGGAAAATTCAGTCTACACTGAAACAGTGCAAAAATGATATGTTTTGTATATAATAAAGAGCTAGACTAAGATGATCATAAACAGGCTTTTTACCCACTTAATGTCCAGTAGAATCTTTTAAAATCTTGAGGCGTGCAGACAGTTCTTTGTTGTGCAGAGTTGTCTCGAGTTGTCTCATACATTTTAGGACCCATAGTCCTCCATCCACCAAATACCCTTCCTCCTACCCAGATTATTGTGACAACCAAAAAGGTCCTCATAAATTTATATCAAAATGTCTCTAAGGGCCTGTTCTGATTCTCTGGGGAATTATTGGTCCAGGCAATGACCAATGATGAGGGAGAAGATAAGAGTTGATAATAACAACTTTGGGGAACTTGGAAGTACTGAAAGTGATGGGAAGGTGACAAAGGGTAAGTGTTAGGAAAGAATAAATGACCTGGATGTGTGAAATATGCAGTAGTCTTATTGAACATAGTAGAAAATAAAATCTTTGCCAAGGAGTTGAAGAAAAAATGTTCCATGCCATTTTTTTTAAATGATGCAATTTATTTTAAAGTTTTTGAAATATATTTCTGCAGTTGTAGATGTCGAATAACTCTTTTTCTCAGGTAAGCTTCCCTTTAGGGACTAAGAATTAATGTTCTTTAGCCTATTTAGAAGATGAAAAAGATAACATAAGTAAAAATAACTGAGTAGTACTTTGAATAAAATAGTGTCTTACAATTAATTGTTGAATAATCAGAGGTCATGGTCAAACTTTGCTGTAGTACAGCTGGTTCTCAGTGAAAAGTAGAAAAGAAACTTTAAAGTTAAGAAAAGAATATTATCAATTTTTAAAGCAATATAAGCAAAACTCGATTTGTATGAAGTGGTAGCCTTTTAGTTTCCAGTATTTTCCTGGAAAGTGTAACTCCTAGTGTTGTTAGGATAATGTAACATGTAGGAAAATTAGCCACATGGATGGTTTGGTATAAGCAAACGTGACACGTGAAAACAAAAACCTATCAAACATGTAAATTATCAAATACTTACTCGTTACCAAAAACAAAAGAGACCATTTCTACTGTTTTTTGAATTGCAGTTTGATTTAAAATGTTTACCTTGAAGCATCCCTTTGAAGAAACACATGGGTCACATATTGTATATCCATATTTTTAGCTTTAACTTTGATTCTTTCCTCACTGTTCTTCTTCTTCTACTACTTCTTTTTTTTCCTTTTTTGAGGAAGATTGGCCCTGAGCTAACATCTGTTGCTAATCTTCCTCTTTCTTTGCTTGAGGAAGATTGTCACTGAGCTAACTTCTGTGCCATCTTCCTTTATTTTGTGTGGGATGCTGCCACAGCATGGCTTGAGGAATGGTGCTAGGTCCATGCTGGGGATCCAAACCCGTGAACCCTGGGCCACTGAGGTGGAGCACACGAACTTAACCACTACACCCCTGTGCTGGCTCCCCTCACTGTTCTTTAGACCATAAGAGGAGGCTGAAATGTAAGCTCTGTGGTCAAGGACTTTGTTGTTTGTGTATTTCCAGCGTTTATAATGGTGGTATATGTGGTAAGCATTCCAAAACAAAATAGTTGTTCCAAAAATAAATGTTATTCTAGGATGTGAAGGAATGTAAAGAACTGTTCTATCAGTGAACGGCATTAGTAAGAATTTCCATTTGTCTGCCAATGAATCCTGCAAAGAAAAGTACAAAATTCAGTTTATCTGAAGTGACACTCATTGTATCCTTTCCCCACACATGCTGGTTCTCCTCTCTCCCCCATCTTGAATAATACCGTGATCAACTCCACTTTCTCTTTTACCTCCAACATTCAGTCCATCAGTCACTTATTCTGCTCTCTGTAATTTCTTCCTCTCTCCCTTCCCACTGCTGTTCTGTTAGCCTTAATCATCTCGCCCCTGGCCGATTGTAATAGCCTTTAAAACAGGTCTCTTTGCTTTTGGTACTTTACCCTTTTAAACTTCACACTGCTATCAGTTATTTTTCTATACACACTCAATTATGGTGCTATCCTTTTTTATAAATTTACCGTGGTCCAAACTTTCTTTAGGATGGTATACAGGACTCTTCATGAACTGACCCCCAAATGACTCATGCAGCCCCGTTTTCCATCCCCTGCGCTGCGCTGCGCTGCACTGCCCTGTGACTCTGACTCTGCTTCCTGCACTTTGCTCCTCTGTCTGGAATTCTTTGGCAAACTGTTCATTTTTTCAGACCCAGCTTACTGATGTCAAGCTTTGCCTGACCTGAGTTTCCTTTCCTTAGTAAAATAAAGTTGTTTCACCCCGTGTACTTTCTTAGAAAGTCATGCAGTTTTTTATTGAAGTGTTTCTTACAATGTATCAAGATTCTTTATATTTGTGTAAGCACTTAGGTTGTGAAGAGTTCAGGGCAAGAACTTTATATGCCTCTGTTACTGGCATTATAATTGACACTTGGTAGTCATTTAATTGTTTGTTAAATGAACAGCTGTTAACTTGTATTACTATTGAGTGACTTAATAAATAACCCTGGGTGTTGGTTCTAACATATTGATACACGTGTTTTTTTCTGTAGGGTTTCTCCTTTATGTTAGCCCCTAAGGGAGAACATGAATCTGTGTCTCTTGCTCACTAGTCTTTCCCAGAATTTAGCACAAGGCCTGGTGTATGCTAAAAAAAAGTTTATATATTTGTATGGTGTATGCTAAATAAATG